GAGTTGCTGTTGAATGGCTATGTGTGGGTAGATTGTAAAGCACCCATTTGTGTTTCATCTAATGTTTTTTTTTTTGTGTGTTCCTTGCTACTACCCAATAAAATTTCAGTGACTTAATTTCTCAAGTAAAGTTATATAGAGTTTTGACTTTCAATAACTATACTCTCAAGTGTTTGCTCAGTTTTTCTATCATTTGATATCTAGCCTTGCAGACAGTCATTTAAAGTAAGGTTTCCTTTTCCGCTTAGAGTTAGTACTGTCGGCTTTTCACTGCAAATAAGTGATGTATAGCAGCAATTCAGAGGGTAATGAAAATGTCGTTTGTATAAATCACCTGAAGATGTGACCTAATCAGTTCTCTCTGGTCCTAATTTAAAGCTACTGTTTTGTCCTTGCCTTCTTTGAAATGTCTTTTGCTCTCCACAGAGGTGACCATGATGGTTTTTAAATATTTTTTTTAACCTAAATTCTGCAGTGTTCTTCTTACCTATTTTTCTTCTCATGTTGTCAGGAATGCCTTAAAGGGAGTATCCCTGGGATTTGGGATGTAGGAGTTCCATACTTCTCTCCTAGATTCTGTTTGATTTTTTTTTTTTTTTTTTTTTTTTTTTTTACCTTGGTAGATCTCTGTTTAGTCTCACCTACAAATCAAAACTGAACTCTCCAGAGTTCGTGAGAAGCAAGTATTTTAGTAATCCTTACCTACTTTTGCTGCAGCAGACACTGATCTTTGCTGGTTTCATCTCTGGTGGAAGGTTTTCACTTGGATCCATTTGGCTTGGTGGAAGTTATGTCTGAATTCCTGAAGTTTCTGATATATTTTTGTTGTGCCAGTATTTTTATGGGGTATGCAATACATACAGATGCATACAGATGTGTTATGGAGCAACAATTTATCTTGCTAGCTTTAATTGAAATGACTCTACACTGGACAGGCTTAAAGGTGAATGTTTAGTTTTATTTCAAAGAAACAAAAAGTTGGGCTGTTGACTAGCTAGTTAGGAACAGATTTGCAGGAGAGGAAAAGGAAAGCAATGGAGATATTTTTTGGAGAGTTACTGGCAACCATGGTTTTTTTTATACTTGTCATATGAACATTTTTTAGTGTGCATTTTGAGCATAAAAATGAGCAAACTGCAGCAACCCATATTTTGGATGCCTTTTCTTAGAAAGGGTCTTCAAAATGACTGGCAGCTAATAAGCCCCTTTTTCTGTCCTCAAGTCAATCAGAAAAACACTATGATTTCTCCCTCTTTCCCCCATTGCTTGTGATGCCCTTCCGCTCTCCTCCGTTGCCCCTGATGTCCCCTTGCTTCCCCTGATTCCAATTTTTATGTGGTTTATTTAAGCATTCCGTTTAATGCAAGCATACTAAGTGGTTCCTGTATAGTCAAGGAATTGGCAATGTGCTAATTTGACACTATAACTACTTGAACTACTATTCCTGCCAATTGGTCCCATTTTTAAGATCTTTAGAATTTTACAAATGATACATCAAAGAAATGCTGTCACCACATTCTGCAGAACTTGCACATCTTGGGGTTGCTTTAGCTTTTTGTGATCAGAAAACATAAATTTATTAATGTAGATAGTAGAGTTTATATCCAAGCACTTAAGCAAAGTACTGGTTTGTAACATTTGTGTGCTTTAGACATTCACTGTTTGCAAATAAATCTCTTCTCACTTTAGAAACTAAAATCCTCCTGTCTCCTTTAGACATCCTATTGTGAATTTCTAGCCATCAGTTTATATTCTACTTGGTAAAAATGGAGCTATTAATTTTCCCTTGTCACTCTTGCCTTTCTCATTCACTTCAGATGAGAAGGATGACTGTACCATCTGGCACATAAACTTCACTTTGGGACTTTCTTTAAATGTTTGTGTTTGATGTGTGTCCAAATCTTTCAGATTCTTTCTTTGAGACCTTTGTTAGATATGGCCTGTCATAACCATTACCGCACTTAAAATGTTCTTATTTTGCATCTTCATTTCAGTAATTGCTTTTTCTTGGCCAATGCAATGTTATTTAGCCATTTAGAATATTATGCAAGATCATTTTCCTGGTTTGTAAAATCAAGCCATATTTATGTATCTGATTCTATCCAAAACTTATTTGTCTCTGCCTTTCAACTTTTCATGCCTTAAGTGCATTTTAGTCTTATCATTCATCCTAAGATATCTATTCCTGCTGTTAATTGGCTCATCATATGAGGCCACATTGGCCAGCTGTTTGTTTTATTTCTATAAAGTCCCTGCATTCCTTATAAGCATCTTTTTAGAAAATTGTTTTTCTCCTCCAAATCCCTCCTTAAAGTCTTTTTGCTGTGATGTCTAAATAAAAGCTGGACAAGACTTATCTCCTGGTGTGCTAAGAATTCTGCCTGTCGAGCTGACCGATATCAGATGTTAAAAAAAAACAAAAAAAAAACCAAAAAAACCTGGAGGGTATCTATTCACTTTACTTTAGCTGATCTTCAGTAACTATGTCTTTGCCCTTAGCCTGGGGAAATGAAAAGTAATATGAGTTAGGATAGTCGTCTTTCATTGACTGCAAACTGCAATTTTGTGTAGATTAATATTTATTAACACTTGAAACCTGTTTCTTGTACTAACACTGTGCCCTCTTTCATTGAGAGCTAATGTAACGTGAATTGCCTTACATTTACTGTGGGCTGAGAGTATGCATGTGGACAGTTACCTGGCAGTTATCTAGCATAACAGTAACTCTGCAGTTCACAGCAGACTGCCCATAATTCAGAAGGGACAAGGTAAAATACTTTTAAGTGGGGAGGTGAACTGAGAATTACAGAAAATTTGGAAACATAATTTCACCTTGATTTTTCACTTCCAAGTCTGTTAGATTCTAGGATTGTTTGTGCTTTTAGTTTTTCTACTGTAGTAAAGTATATGCTCCACTAACCATATAATATTTTTGATGTTTCTTCAAATAAAAAATAGGAGACATTTGAGGATATGATTTCCAATATGGCAGTGGCATTTTATCCTGAAAATTTATCAGTTGTTGTGTTCTTCTACTCCCTAATTCTTTCCATCTTGGGAAAGAGAATTTGAGCCAGATTGTAAATTGTGAGCTTGTTTTTACATAACACATATATATATATATATATATATATATATATATATATAAAATATATATATATTATATATTACTTACATAATCATGACTGGTATTTTAGAGGGATGGACTGTAAATGCTATCTACCTGTCTATTTTTACTGTTATCTTGTGTAGGTTTTTGGAGGTGAGGTATAGTCAAAGAAATACAGCGGGTGAAATTTGAAGGTAGGGTTAAGTTTCCTTTAAGGGCTCATCAAATAAAAATAAAGAAAATATATTTTTATTTTTCCCAAAAGAGTAATTTCACTGTTGTGTTTTCCAAGCTGCACTTAAAGCTAATATGCGAAGAGTAAAAATAATAGTTAATAATTATATGGTTTAGGCAGCATGCTGTATTTTATCCTTAAAAGCGTTTCAACAGAGGCTCTCTTCTGGTAGTTATGTTTCAGAGAAAAAAATTAAGTAGCTGTTTCATAGACTGCAAAGTCAATAGCAATTTTTTAACAAAATTGGTATTGACTTTGGGCTTTGTCTTAGTAAATGTTCTTCCTTTTGAAACTATATATTCTGTGTTTAGTATTATGAAAAACTGTGCTACAAGCATTAGTGTTAATAGCTTAGTATTTTAGTCCTTCACAAATTAATGCTTGTGGTAACTGGATGATTTTAGGCCTGTTCTTATAAACAAGGCCTTACTGATGTGCTAGGAGCAGTAATATGTGGCAAAAACTCCACATTAACCAAGGTAAGCAGTATAAATGGGGTGTAGGAATCCCCTGCTAGACTAAAAATCTCCAAGAGAAAATCTCCAGAGCCTACAAATTAAAGACCTCCAATGTCATTTTAAAATAAAGCCTTTTATGTAGTAGGAGAGCATTTTTTCAGCTGATAATCAAATGACACTATTATGCAGGCTTACTAGATTTGCAAATTTACAAGTTTTTACAAGTCAGTTGGGTCCCTTCCTCAGGAAATCAGTTTAAGTTTTTTTTCCTGTATTGACTCAAAGAGCCTGGTTGTCCTTAAATCCTTCTGAATATATTTGCCTTATAATTTGACGGCATTGAGTCAACACTCTTATAGGAACTGCAATGCAATAAAAAAGAGAAACTGTTCAATATGGTTTCCAGTTACCTTGGGATCAGATTTGGAGAGACTGGAACATGTACAATAAAACCTGTGCAAGGCTTCCATTTTGCTTTGGAAGCACCCAGTGCTTTTTCAACATAAATATTAATTTGAAAGCTTTGCTCTGCTTCCGGTGGTTGTAAAATGATAGAAATGAAAATGTGTGTGACTCTTGAAATATGCATTTTACTGGTTTTAATCTTCTGAACTGTACAGTTATGGAATTGAAAGCTTCATGTATGAGTAATGAAGAACCAGTGCTTTTACTCAATTCATTTTTTATTATAGTGTTTTTGTTCTACCATATTCTGCATCTAAGTTCTTTATAACTTATTACATTTTTTTAATTAGAAAAAAATATGTAGATTCAGATGTGCTTGGTCAACTCTATTTTGTAAAAGTCTTTAGATGACACTGGAACCTCCAATATGCATCATGCTTGCAAGCAGAATGTGCAAAACTTAGTTGTCTCAAGTTTCTGTATGTGGTTAACAGTAAATTTGTTACGAATTGTGTATATCCAGCAATAAGTTTCTCCTTTATTTTAGATAAGAATTAGTCGCATTTGACCATACAGTTTTATTTGTGGTTTTGTTTTAGTTTTGCAAATAATATTAACCTGATGTAATTTGTTATTTTTATTAGGGCAAATGATTATAGGAAGAAAGAAACCTGCATTTGCATACACCTGTAAAGAAAAAGATTACATCTGATGTGTTTCCAATGAATAATTTCCAAGACAGGTAACTGAATGGGCTCCATTTTAGTAATTTTTCCTTCCTTCAACTTTTTAGTTGACTTGGAGCATATGCGTGCAGTGAAAGTTGACAAGCACCAGCGATTTTGTCAGGAAAACAATTTCAGTAGCCATTTCGTGTCAGCCAAGACAGGAGATTCTGTAAGTAAGAAAAATAAAACCCTTGTAGATGTCTTGTTTTTATTTTTAAAGATGCTGAAGTTTTATTATACTTCACATATCAAACCATGGAGAACAGTGACTGTTGCAGGTTGTTTTTGCCTGCCTAGTTAAATGAAAAATAGATCTTTGTGTATATTCTTTATTAATTACAGTGATTTCTCATCTGATTTGCAGTTTAATGTATAGTTTTTAATATGATAAAGGTCTAATTTATACATCAGCATGAGAACAGCTATATCTCTTTGCTGACAACCTGTAGTTAAATGTATTCCTTCATTCCAGGTGGAGTCCCATCTATAGACCATCAATATAGAAACTTTGAACAGTTGATAGTGTCACGAGACCCTGTTGCAATCAAAAGTTTTTAATAGGGGTCCTGAGCCATTGGAGACACTCCTACTGCAGGTCCATTGAAATTTGAACATTTGGTGTTTTTAATACTTTGCAGAGTATATTTTTGAACAACCTTTTGACTCTGAGCTAACTGGGTTATTTGTTTTAGTTGTAAGTGTATGGAAGTAAAGGTTCTTTCTTAGTTGACTCTGTCAGTCAAATTAAATCACACTGTATTGTTTTGCTTGATTTGTCACATGCTTAGTAACTGTCATTCCCATAAAACAGTCTTGTATCTCTCTCCTGTGTTACTTATGACAGCATACTTAATTTTTGTTATTAAACAGTAAGACCATGTTCAGTTATATGCAAGTATAACTCTGTAACACAAATAGAACCAGTTTTTAAGATCTTTGATGAAACGTCTGCAATGTACTGCCTAATTTTATAAGATAATAGCTTTTCTTTGAAGTCTAACAATTTTGCTGTGACAGATGCAGTGAGTCCTCATTCTTCTTACAGTTTGTGTTGAATCTTTGGCATAATTTTTTGTTTAAATTAAAGTTTTTTAAGGTAGAAACAGAAGAAAAAAATGTATAATGCTTCACCCAATGAAGTATGCATCTGATAAAACGTATTCCTTTCTCAGGCAAACAATCTTTTTTTTTTTTTTGAGATTTAGTAACAGGAAGAAAAAGCAGTCCTTTTTATAAGGTTGATATATTTAACATAGCAAAATATGAAGGAATCTTTATTATGTCTTTTAATTGATTCATGAATTGCAGCAGCATCCTGCTGTATGTACTGATTGTTCTTTTTTTCACTTGCTGTATAAAGACAAAAGTAAATTTAAACGTACCTAGAAAGCATTAACCAGAAGTCTAAGTATGTACTAAGAAAAGAAGGTATGAGGTATGGTTTACAGTATTTCATTTTTTTTGTTTCACTATAGATTTGAATTACTTCCTCATGTTTTTTAGTAGTTGTGCAGGAAAGACAGGGTGCTTACCCTGGACAGTGATCTAAGAAGAGACCATCAATTGCTGCTTTGGTTATAGGCTTAGTTAAGATAAATGATTTTTTGTTTACCTCGGATCTTTCCAGCTGACTCATTTGCAAAAGATAATTTTGTATTTATATTTCATTCTTATAATTTAAAAAAAGCCCAAAATTCTCCTTAGAGGAAAAATAAATTTAATGAAAGATTTAGTATAGCTGTCTTACTGTCTATCAAATTGTATACATAAAGCACTGAACTTGTGCCTGATGTTTTGCGCACAAAGCATCCTCATGATAGGTGGTCTAGCTCAGTACACCGAGAGCCTGGTGTGGGTTAAAGTAGGCATCTGGAAAAAAGAGACCTTGTTCAGGATTTCTTGCTAAGTGGATTCTAGTAGAATAGACCAGTACTAGACCAAGTAGTTTAGAGAAATTATTTTGGAAGCTATTATGGTTTGTTGGTTCTTCCACTGATTCATTGCTGTTTTCCATCTTGGGTGTAAGAAGAGGTTGTATAAATTGTCTGGTTTTGAATTTTCACTGAAAATTACAAAAATCACTTACACAGGCTCTTTGGAGTCCAGCTGCCTGATGAAAAGCAGTGTTTGTTAGTAGTTTAGATTGTGAGCTCAGTCGAATAACCATGTAGATGAAATATAATATGGGGTTCAGCAGCAGTGCAAACTTAAGCTGCTCCTCTTTAACATCTGTTGTGTTCTTTAAACTGATTTAAAATGCAGCTGCCTAAACTTTAAGATTGGTGGACTGGATTGAGATAAAGTAAACCATTGCCACCCAGTGTTACCTGTCCAACCATGTCCAAATTCTAACTCTGCAAGGCTGCTGCATCATCTTGCTTGTTTTCTAGATACTTGCTTTCGTTATAACATCCATAATGTTTTATAAGACTTCAGAACAAATAGAGCATTGTATGGCTTTCATATTGACAATGTTTTTTAAACATGTGCAGTATAGCTTTTGGTGATGCACAGTTCTGTTGCTTTCAATTTCAGAAACCTGTAGGTTTCTCTATTGCAGAATACACTGGTAATATATTTTTTGTGCTAAACATTAGTGAATACCCTTATTCATATTTTATAGCACTGAGAGTAGTATTTTAGAGGTGAGTTGTGTAAAAGCTTGTTTAAACTTAAGTCTCTGGAGGCAGAGTAGAAGTGTTGCTTAGTAATCCAGCATACTGTTCATTCCTTGTACCATTGTTGAGTTATTTTCTCCTGATTTTTAAACAAAACTGAATGTACCAGATGAGGTTGTTTTCAGATCTCTCTTGCACAGATCATAATTTAATATATCTAATTGTTTAACAGTTCAAGGATGTTTTGATATATTTGAAAGAACCTCAAGAATGTCCGTTTTTAATCTTTTAAGTGCAATTTAATTTTTTTCCATAGGTCTTCTTGTGTTTTCAGAGAATTGCTGCTGACATACTTGGCATCAAACTAAACAAAGCAGAGTTGGAGCAGTCACAGGTGACTTTTCCACAAATACATATTTTTTTATTTCCAGGTATTTTATTTAGTGTTAAAAAAAATCATTGGAAATTAGTAAGTGTCCTTTAAAGCACTTCAATATAGGGAGAAAGTTCAAATTGAGAGCAATTTTTTAAAAATAGTGCATAAAATTGGTTTGGAAATTAAATCCTCTCTCTATGTATTCATATGCAGGTAGCATGGAAGATTTTTTTTTTACACACTTTAAATACTGTACATTGGTGTCAGATATGGTTTTTATGAAAATTGTTCTTTTTTCTTTACATATTTAAAAACCAATTTAATTTTAAAACTACACATTTAAGTCATAAAAGGCATAAGCTTCTGTGAGTAGAAGTGTTCTAAATCAACCTTCATTGTAGTAATACAGGAAAAACCAGTATTTTTTCAATCTGAGGGTTGGGAATTAACCATGTTAAATCCTATGTTTGGTTAATCTCAGATTTTCATCATCTTTGTGTGCCTGTATAATACAGGACCTCAGAAGTGACTCTCTGCCTTGGGTAAGGAATATTGGTTTTGTATGGTCGCTATTTCCCATTTTATTCTGATTTGCAAATGAGAAATGAATCCTGTTCTGGTTCAGTATACCAATTCTCAGTGGCAGGCAGAGCTGTGGAATTGTGTGTTTGGGTAGCTATTATGGCTACCTGGCATCTGCAGTTATTTTTCTCACCATACCAGTCCCAAATAATTTCCCCCTAAAGGAGCTGCATGGTTTATGTCCTTGCATTTTGTGTTTTGTTCTTTGAGTTATGAGTATTATCTTGGGGATTTTCTGTCATTTCCTCTGCAGTGAGAAAGGGCTGAGAGGGAAGAATGTTTCCCAGCAATAGGTGGGAAGGTCATCAAGAAGGTTGTCCACCATTCCCTTACATTGGTTAGCCATAAGTTAGGGATGTGAATGTAGTGATTTCATAGTGAACATGTGGCAGAACCCTGCTGCATGTCATACTCTGAACTGTAGTAGAGCTTTGTTGCAAGCTCATCCTATGCATTAATTGCTATATGCAGAATGGCTCTATTGAGGGCATTGTTTTAGGACCTTGTGAATTTATTGGGAAAAGATATTTTTACTATTTTAAAAAATTAGAACTGTAACTATATTAATTAAAATGTGAGTACTTGCTTAACTATCTACTAGAGTTGGAAGTCAGTTTTTGTTAGTGAAAGTTAGATAAAAAATGTGTTAATTGTTCAAATAAGCAACAAGCAAGAGGTTTTCTAGTATAACCCTTTTTCCCTTATCCTTCCCTTTCCTTCCTTCTTCTTAGCTCCTGCTTCTAAAAATAGTTTTCCTGCCTGTAAGACTGTGTGCATAGGTTTAAACCAAAAAAGATTGTATACAAACTTTGTTTCAGAATCCTCAAAAACAAAGATTATACTACTGAATATAATCTTACATGTACATATATGTAGTATAACCTTACTATACAATGATGTTTGAGATTACAATGCACTTATTTTAAATTTACTTATTGAGCTAAAAGTAGTTGCTTCAGTGGTGTAATATCTTGGAACTGCTAGTTACTACCAACGTTCAGCAAGTACCACAAGGTAAGTCAGCAAGTTTCTTAAGAAAAAAAGGAAAAAGGCAAAACATTTTTTACCTACAGCTTGGCCTCCTGCTTTTTGAAATATACAATAAATATGTAATTTCTGAAAGTGTTTTGCCATGGTGGTGTTTACAATCTGTGTTGAAGTGGTTAACTAGAAAACTGTATTTCAAACAGTAAAATGATAAAATACACTTACAGTGCATACCTGATGAGCAAGGCTAAGAGGTTCTGAAAAGCTGTAATTTATGGCTAGAGAAATATTGAGCGTGTTCATTCAATGGTTTTTACTACTAAGGCACCATCCATCTGTTGTTCTGAGCTCTATGATTATTTGCATATAAATAATTCAGCACATTAAGAGCTCTTCAGTTTTTCTTTGGTTGTTTAGCTAGAACTGGAACTTCAGTCTTAGCCCTCTCTGTGCTTAGTGATTTTGTGAGTAAGTAAGATAAGTAAGCTTGTAGATCGTTATTCAAATACCTTAGATTAAAAAGAGAATATAATCAATGGAGTTATACAGAAAATTGTAGCTTTCTAGATAAGGTGTCTATTTTTAGGTTAAAGTAAGAACCTTTGTATAGTCCTGACTCAAGAGTGCATAACTTTCTGTGTCAAATTGGTATTTGCTTTAAGTAGGCTTCCTCTTGCCTTAGTATTGTAATTACAGTTTTTAATTTTGTTGAGCAGATCAATGGAATATGCAGTTATGGATGAGAGTAAATATTATGCAAATTGCATTAGCAATAGCTTGTAAATAGTTAATAATGCATAAACTACTCACTGTGGCCCACCCATTACTGTTCATGTGAATCCACACTACAGTGATTAAAAAAAAAAAAGATAAACAGTAAATGGAGCTGGATAAAAAAGAAACTTCAGTGTAGCCATTCAGGTACTGCACAAGTACGCTGTGCATGTAGAGTAAGAGCAACTGCCTGGCTTTGCAAAGTTCTACTAATTGAGCATAGTTTCAGTCTACTCTGAAGAATCACACAAAGTGAATCACAAATTCTTTGTCACAAGAAGAACATTTACTTCCTTTGAGTGGGCTGTAGGTACTACTGCTTAAGTCAGTGAGAAACCAGTGGGAATTTTATTTGAGTGTGTGTTAGCTGTATCTTAAGGTTCATTATTGTATAGAACTGACTACCCTGGTCACTTCTAAAGATAGAAAAGGAGAATTCTCTACATAAAACTTGAGAAGGAGAACTTTAACCTCAGAGAGATGAATAGAATGACATGTTTTGAGAGAAATTTACGAGTCTGCGGTGGAAAAGCCTAAGTAATGTGTAGGTGCTATTTCCCAGGAGCATGGATCTGGTCTCTTAGCTGGAAGGAGGTGGTGTTACATGATGTTGCCATCACTAGGTTTCTGGTTTACCACAGACTTTATAACAGGTACAGGTTCCTAAGTGTGGTGGTGATGTTTGGATTTTGGTTTTTTTTTTTCTCCTTGTTTTGTTTTGTTTTTTCTTTTCACCTGTAAAATGGGCACGGGGCTTCTTTAAATTAAGAAACAGCTATATGAATGTGTTCCCTTAAACTTTTAGCCATTTAATACTCTAGCTGTTGAACTATAAAAGCATACAGAAAAATCGATAGATGTACGCTACATAAATGTTATAAAGAAACAAAAAACTAATCTAATAGTAGGTGTGACTCATCCTTGAATCAGTAAGTATGCAAATGTTGACTTGGATTTAATCTTTAAACAAAGAGTAAAATACATTGTAGTTTTTACAAATGTGCGCTACTCAGATAATGGATCATATCTTTGAATTTGCTGTATTTTGTGTAATGTGAGTTTTCCTTATTTTGAAAAACAAGAAGGTTGCTGCTTGAAAGTATTTGTCAGAGAACATCAGATATCTTTGTTCAGCCTAGGTGGTAACAAAGGGGAAGATGGAATACTGAGTTTGTGTAAAATGCCAACAGTGACATGCTCTATGTATGGTTTATTATGTATTTCTTCATTATTACTGATTGTCTAATGTAGAGAATGCTCTTTAAAACATATTTCTAGTGCTTTCAATTTTATGCCTGAAGATCATATTTCTTGTGTTTAAGATCAATTATAATTGCCACACTCACTGGGAGGTTCTTAGAAGTGGCTCACAGGTGGTTAGAAATAAATAATAGGAATCTCAAACATGTTACTTATATGAATTTGTGGTGCTTGACTCTTGACTTTAGAGCTTTGATGACTGGCAGAAGCTTTTGTGAAAAGTGGATGGGTGTTCCTGGTCCACTTCGAGTTAACAACACAACTTCTGTTAATGAACCTCAAGAGCGAGCCTTAAAAATTGAGTTATTTACCACCCATTTTTAGAACACAGCTGCACCAGTTTAAGATATTAATGCAACCCAAGCTATTTGTTACTGCCCTTTTTCTGGAATTTATCACTCCCACAGCAGAATCAGAAAATGGAAGGTGATCATGTGCCTTGGCCGCATCAGGGTGAAGTAGAGCAGTTTAGCTTAAACTGCTGCTGAAAGTTGTTTTTAAGTGAAGCTGCCAGACTTTGTGCTGAAGCGGATGAGGTGCAAGTATATGTTACATTCCACCAGCTCTCCTTTGGCGGCAGTGATCTCCAGCAGAGGAATAGGACAGACATTTGGGGGTGGTAAGTTTTTAAACTATCTCAGCTAGAGCTACTAAACCTTGTCTGTTAACATGCTGAGATGACTGTTAATCAAACCTTTATTTGGACAAAACTGTGGTGAAACAAAGAACTAGATTACTCCTTATGCGTGACTGGAAAGTAGAGAATGTTTTTGAAATGGAACAGTTCCAAAGTAAGAAAATTGCAGATTCTGACTTATTTTCAGTCCTCAAAATACTCCTCCTTTTAAATCACAAGGGTCTGATGAAATTTGAGGAAATAGCTCCTTTACTAATCAGATGTTTTTCTTTCTGTATTTTTGACTTTCAACTGTAGTGTAAAAACTGCATGGGGTACAGCTTTGTTCCTTGGCATTGGCAAGAGCTAGCATTTTTGTAAGTGATGTGTAGTTTTCTATTTAACTAAATGCCAGTTCAGCAAATCGGGGTGTGTGTGCCAGGTTTGTACAACAAAATGTTTGGCAGATAAGTTTGGTGGAATTCAGAGCACCTGCAGCAAGAAAGGTTCTCCTTATTGAGAGTGGTTTGAACCATGGCAATGATATGCTTAGCATAGAAACTGATACAAAGAAACCTAAGTTTTTAATTACCGTGAAGCTAACAGAGGAAATGTTGCAGTGGGTTTTTTTCACTCCTATTTAGGTGAAATTCCTTTAGAAAATCCAAGTCATTTATGATAGTCAGTTTCTTGCTACATTGTGCCTAAGCATGGGTCACTAACCTGCCTGTGTTTACAGGATGGGATTTAGACAAATGTTTTGAGGAACAATTAATTGCCTACTGATTGTGAGACCTTTTTTTTTCTTTCCTCTCAGCTGTAGTCAAAAGATTGGTATGAAGAAACTAGGTCCTGTGAGGTCAGATAACACTGTTTAGTGCTAAACCTCCTACTACCACCTTACATGGGATTTGGCAACCTTTCCCTTGATAACATCAGTCCAGGAGTTGAGTAAATCATGAGTGGTGTCCACTAGATAAGATAATATGAATGCAATCAATTAAACTCTAGGCGAGTACATCAGCAGCTAATAAATCGAGATCCCTTACCAGCCAATTCAACTGTTGCTGCTTGTTTGACATTCAGGTTTTATTTACAGAGGTAATCTTTAACATATATACTGTTTATATATTCACATAATCCTGTTAATAGTTTCCTTTAACATAATAGTATTTATTAATGTATTCATACATTTTAACCTTGAAAATACGTTGTGTAAAGCTGAAGTATTTCAGAAAAAATTATTAAACTGGTTTAGGATATTTTTTGTAACTGACCAACCTCCTCTGTTACTTTTTTGTTCTATGAATTATTCTCCCCTTTGCATGAACACTGTACTAGTAGTAAGAAAACTTCCAACAATTTTGTTTGACTTTAGCAGGGAAAAATGAGAGCCTTTTATTTTTGCATTATGTAGAGCAAAGTCAAAGGTTGCAGCACTTGGATGTGAGGTTGTTAATTGATGTCAGTTTTAAAATTATATATTTAGTTATAACGCAATAGTTGTGTAATGGAAAAGATGCGTGTGTACGTCTAATGCACTTGCTACAGTTGCTGGTAGGAAGTTGAATAATGTAATATTTAAGTACCTTAAAGGAATAGGCCATTGCCACCTTTTCTTTCACTGATTTGCTTTTCTTTTTATTCTTTCCCTTCTCTTGCTTTAATACACTTTCATTGCTTGCATGTATAAATATTTCATTTTGGTACTTTGATAGGTCATGTCCTTGAAGGAGCTCGAGAAGCAGCCCTAATGTTGATGATGCTTTCAGCTAGACATGTTGCTCCTTCATTGTCATAAAGCCTGAAAAGAAATGCACTTTTGTTTTGCTTCTGCATAGTCTTCTTATTTCATTCATTCATTCATTCTTTTCAACTACTGATTAATCTCTCCATTTCTCTTTCCTTCTCTTTTTACATTCTTCTCCTTGCCCTCTCTCCATTATGCTGATAACATGCTGATTAACAGCATGTTGTCAGGGCAGAACTAGTGAAATATCCTGAAGAAGATAGTCAACATCACAACACTTCCAACTGCCAGAGCAAAGTCTGCTCAATGCAGTAGTTCAGGTATTGGTGGAAAACTTGGTTTGTTTGTTTTTCCCAAGCTGCGTTGCTTTTACATGAAGTAACAACTGTTACAGTAAGTTCTATCAGAAAAATGGTTTGTATTGTAGGTGCTTGTAATACTTAATATATTAATTTGGAACTCTGTACAATTGCATGTTGATTCTAATAACAAGGTATTTCATAGAAATTAAATGCTTCATGCTGCTGTGTTAAGGAGGTCCTTCAGTGCTGTGTATTAAAAATGTTGCATAGCTGCCTCAGGTAGAAATAGACTTATTTGGAAATTGGCATTTCATTTCCTCCTCCTCATTGGGAGAGACCAACAGTCTGATCAAATGCTTTTAAATAGAATGAGTAATACCTGTTGGATCTGTATTAAAAAATAAATACGGTATGCAGAGGTTCTTTTTATATTAATTTAATCTTTAGTCAGTCTGCCTATCAAAGACTTTGAAATATGGTTGTATGTAAAATTTACTTTTGAGTTCTGTCTGTGCATTCTTGTGCAGTGCTTGGAGTGAAGACCGAAAGACAAACTTATGTACAATTTCAAATTACAGTTTAGGCAGTTATTCTTAAAGAATGCATACCATAGACTTTGTAAGCAAGTATTGTTTTATTATTTCCATTCAAAGCAGTTTTCATGGAAGTAAAACTGTATTAATTGCTTTTGCAAAAAGTCATGATCCATTTGTAGTGGTGTGAAAATCTACCGAGGCACTTCCTTCTGCTTAGGACGGATAAACTGGTATTTAGAATGAGAATTATCACCTAGTAAGACTTCCTGTAGGGTAGTGGAAAAAAACCTAAATGGTACCTGTTTTGCCTAATATTTCATATGCTTTTACAGCAAAATATCTGTTGAATTTTTTGCCAGCATGAAGATTATATTTCCTAATTGTTAACTGTGTTTTCTTTTATGACAGAGGGTGGTGAAAGCAGATATTGTCAACTACAGTCAGGAGCCTGTGACAAGAACCATTAATCCTCCTAGAAGCTCAATGTGTGCAGTGCAGTAACTGTGCTATTCTCTGTTTCGATACCTTCGGTGGTTGTCCTACCTTGACACAGGCTCTGGGTTTACCAGGAGCTTTAACAGTGACTGTCGCAGCAATGCAGTTAGAGGCTTCACAAATGTGTTACACCACTGTACGCTGAGAAGCAGCAGGCAGGCAGTTTTTATACTGGCTGAAATTCAAACCTGAGACCACACACTTTGAAAAATTAAAGTCTCTATTCTTTTAAATTATATTTAAATAAAACAGTATAACTGTGTTTATATATTTCTTCTGATCTATTTGACTGGAATAAAAATGGATGAAGAAGTCTGGCATTCAAAATACTTTAAAGACATCATCATGGAAGGGTATTTTGCCAAAGCATTTTTAAAATTTTTCCTTTTCTTTCTCCTGTGATCTGAACTAACACTCAGTGAAATGTAACTTGGAAAAGCTATTGCTGGAATAATTTCCAGCACATAATGTATTTTATGTAGGGGTAATTTGGGAAGTATTCCATTAATATATGTACATAGTGCAAAATGTATAAATTATATCCACTAAGACACAGTGCTTGAAATAAAGCTGTAATTATAAAAACAGTTACTGAAGTCTCCAGTTGTCTCCATGGATGCTCTGAAAAATGCTAGTGCTTTTGTGTATTTTTATTACCACATCAGCATTATTTCTTGCAGTAGTAGATACACTCATATGTCTTCATGAATATGGATGAACCTCAGTCGACAGTTTGGGCTGTAAATGTTGAGTGATATATTCCGCATGCATTAGAAACTTGATAGATCAATTAGGATCAGTCATTTTTAATAACCAAATGAATTACCTTTGGCCTGATACTCTTTTCTTTCTAGTTCAGAGTAAATGACAAATAAAAAGCTGTCTGCTCTGTGATCAGTGCATTTCTCCTCTGTTCCTTTGCTAGCAGTCTCTTTTAGATGTTCAGTTCTCTGCTGGCACATCTGAATAGAAAGCTAAGGAGAAAAAAATAGTAAGCCAACTTGATTCCAAACTAGAAATCTATCTCATGTTTTAAGTCTAGAATGTGTTTTCTTATAAAGTACAGCAAAGCATTTCAAGATTTAGAGAATTAATGAAGCTGAGTGAAGGAAGCTTATATATCACAAGTGAAAATGGTGAGCTTCTTCATGTAAGTTCTCCTATTAAGCTGTTCAAGCAAGTGCTTAATAGTTGGAACTACTAAACTATTTAATAAAATAGTTGACCTATCAAATTAAAAAAAAAAATTGCAGATAGCAAGAATGTGCTTTTTGTTATTATTTTGGTATATTCCAAGTTCATTGGAAAGCTAAGTTCATTTTACACCATGCAAATGCAGCTTGTCACAGTTTCATAGCTGTGTGAGAATGACTTACTCTTAGTATTGTATCATTCAAATATGGAATAGTCTAAGAAACAAGCAGAGATACTGAGAAATTATTCTACACTAAGGTAGGTGTGAATTTGCAGTAAAATATTCATTCTAGGGTTATAGTTTGTGTTCTTGTTCCTGTTCTGTGGAGCTTGTATCCCATTGCATAGTATTACCTTATGGTTAAACACAACTGAATGGTGAACTGTCTTCTACTACCACCAGATGAGAAGTTCTGTTCAAACAGTTTCTCTGGAGTAGCTGGGAAGTTTACAAGGTTATGCCCTCCAAAGCATGTGGTGTAAGGTTCTTTGAACCATCAGATTTCTCTGTGTGTTTGTGTCCTGAACTCTGCCCAATATGCTCAAATATTCATGAGAACTTCCCTTTCCCTGAGGAGCTGAGCACAGCCTGGCTCAGCTACGTGGCTAGAGCCATCTTTGCCTCATGCATGTGAGCCAGCTTCATAGTTCTGCTTTCCAAGTAATATGCAGCATGATCTTAAAAACTGCAGTGCTTTTCTCTTAAAAACTTCTGTAATCTTACATTTCAGAAGAAAATGCTTTTTCATAACTTGTAACACAAGGCCCATTATTACCCTGAATGATAAAAAAGTTTTGCTTTTATACTTGGGGTAATCTTGCAGTATGAAGGGTGTGATATGTGTCCCAGTCCAAGGTATTTTATGGATGGATTATACATTTGTCTCGTCATGATCTTTTATTCTCATGTCTGTTTCTCTAGCTGTCTGTGACTTGTACATCGTTTTGTGGTTTGTTCACATTGATCTTTGCACCATTTTCTGTGTTAAAGCCATACCTCCTCTGGAGATATTATTGTTTACATTTCCAAGCTGCTCTCATTCTTCCTCTCTAGCATACATGTATATTATTTACGCTAACCCGGAATCTCTTGTCTTCTGTGCCCCCAGCCCCTCCTTTTGCTGCCACTCTTAACCTCCTCAGCTTTTCTGTATTGTATACTGACTTCCATTCTCCCTGCCTTTCCCTGCCCTTCCTGCCCCATTTAGATCCATTACCTGTCCATGTTTTAATCCTTACAAATGAGCTTTGCTCTTTTTGCTCAGCCCCAGGAGACCCACCTTGAGCCTTTGGATTCCAGCTGCAGCCTAAATCCGTGGCTGTGGTAGCTGCCTTTTAAGTGCTGCAGCAGCTGTGGCTGAAGGTTCAGGGGTACCTTTGCCATTGCTACGGCCCAAGTTCCACCAGGCAGAGCAGAAAGGTCAAAGATAATTCTGGAGGATTAAGCAATGCGGAGAGGGGGAGTAGACAGACATGTTGTGCAGGGATGGCAAGGGATCTCTGGGCACTGGAGGGATGGAAACAAATCTAGTGAGAGAGGTGGGTAGGGGGAGGCAGGCTAGACACTAGCCTGTACCCAGTCTCCTTGCCACTGCTAATCCACACAATTCACATCTGGTAGAGTTAAAGCGTGTGCCATATTCATGCACTTTAAAGTTTTTTGGAAGGTGAGAACTAGTTGAAAGTAATTCAGTGAGCAATGATGAAGTTAAATAATGCAAGGCTTTCCAAAAGTGAGGCGACATATGCTTAGTGTCCATTGACATGGGGAGTGGGCTAGGGCAGGGGTAAGCATGTTTTCTTCTGAAGCTGAGGCCAGATGAGGGGAAGAAACATGCTCAGGCCCTGAGCTTACACAGATCCACACTGGTGATCTATCTGCTCAGAGCTGTTGTGACTAATCATTTCAGTAACAGCTCCACAGCTAAAAATTGTTTCTAAGTTCAGCTCCTCGCTAGGGTCAGCCTTGTGTGATGTGGTGGATACCAATACGCACATTGTGTCTGGCTGTGTGTTAGATTACCAGTGCTTTTAAAACATATATTTGATGTGTTACTAAACTCATGCAACTTCTTACCTTTCGTGGCTCTAAACTTTGGTGGGGTCAAATGGAGTCTCATGAACAGTGGTGTGAAGATATTTCCCCTTACGACCAAATGCTGTGAGCACTAGAGCCTGCCATGAGATCATGATCTTTCTGAATACACGGTTCTTTTGACAGTTTGTAAGAAACCTCTTCCATAAAGTACTATTTGGGTTTCACTGGAACTAAAGGGCTTTTGGATCAGGTGGCTTCAAATGCAGAGATAATTTGCTAGTCAGAGTAGCTGCTGGCAAATGCACCTGATAATGAACCCAGTAGCCCAAATTTCATAATAATTTTTCAATGAAAAATGGTAGCAATACTTAAAATTGTCTATTCTTTTGTGGGTTTTTGTTTTTTTTTTTTTTTTGTGATGATGGCAATTTAAATAAGTCAAATCTTATTTTTTCTTTTTACATTAATTTTATCTAAGGAATATAATTGTTTCTTCACAAAAGAATGTTTGTAATCTTTGTTTCATGGTGATCATGACCTTTTCGTCGTGTTTCTAATAGAGACTACTGTTTAGAAGGTGTCCCTATTCCATGTGTTGATCTGAAACCAAGGATTTGAGAGACACTGGGAAGAGCAAGTGGGGCTGAAGCCTTATCGCTATGTACCTGTGCCATACTGGGATCACTGCTCTGGGCTGGCCCAACAGCTTTAACTGACTGAAAGCAAAATAAAATTTCCCATAACTTGATGTCTTTAACCCCTTCAAAGTAAAACCTGATATATCTAATTAGCACTGTACTGTCCTGTGTGAATTTTGGCATTGACAGAAGACTAAATTACTGTTCCTTAATTAACAATTTTATAATGGAGATTTTCTGCAGGAGAATTTTTCCTGTTTTGAATACTTGCGTTCATTTCTGATGGAGCTTAAGGGTTTGTATGAAGGGCCTGATAGGTGCATTTAAAGCTGCACTGGCTTTTATAGAAGTTATAGTTACAAAGCTGACATGATTAACTACTTTTCCTTCTGGAATTTGAGTATTATTTCCCAAGCAAAGAGGTTATTCCACAGTTTTGTGTTCCTTTCTTTCTTAGTTCAAGTACTACTGCTTAACATACCATCTGATTTCTTTAGGCTGTCTTCATTTAAAACAAACTCGTAACCACTTAAAATGTCAAAATAGGTGAATGCTACTGAAAAGAAAAAACCTGAATTTTTCCATGTTTACATAAGGGTAATGGCATACATATGAGATTAAAACTCCAGTCCAGATAATTATCCATAGGAAGCAAATACATACTCTGATTTCAGATGCTATGAATAGAATGTGATTAGAATTTAATGCACTACAGTTTTATTTGCAAAATACACAGGTCTTATATAAAACCTCTTTTTATAAAGTACTCTCCAGAAGCCTTGGGGATCCCTGTTTAACTTGCAAATGCCGAAGTTTGATCTTCCCCAAATAGAAGATAGTGAAGCTCCTGAGTTCCATGAACTGATTTCTATTTTCAGCTTCCCATAGAGAGCTGACTGTTCAGCCTATGCAAACTCTTTTTTTTTTCTACTCCACTTCATCTTCGTTCATTTTGGCACCATTTTGAACTGGAAAACTTCCAGTTAGCTAATTGGCTATTTGCCTTGTTTTATGTGGGGGTGATGTCAAGTGCTGAAATAACCAATTGACTGAAAGCAATCTTGTTTCAAAGGCTGGTCAGAACCAAACCTCAGAAGGTACCAATTTCAGGTTTGTTTTGTATTTAACCGCTACACAGCATTCCTTATCCTGGTGGACGAACCTCAGAGAAGAATATAGATTTGAGGTCAAGAGCCTGTGTTTGCTCAGATACCACATTTAGAGCACTGAGTTCTGGAGGAAATAGAAATCCAGGTATTTTTTTTTTTTTTTAATTTCACTTCAAGACTTTCTCTGCCTCTACTTTCTAATGTCCTGTTGGCAAGCAGTGTTTTTAAAATACATTAATGTCCTCATTTATAAAAAAGATGTAGTAATTATACGATAGGAAAGTTTTGCTCTTAAGGATGAATGGAAAAAGCTGCTTATGTTGTATGAGATATCACTGGCATAGGTGAAGGTGTTCATTAATAATCAACTTTACTTTCTATGATTTGCTAAATATCATATATTCTGATTTCTACTTTTCTAGTTTAAAATACACTTCAGAATTATAATAATTAAAAATACAAAATACCAAACTATTTTTAACTAATTTGTGCCTCAGAAAACTGGTCCTGCAGACTGCTGCAGGCAAACATTTTTTCTTTGCTAGCTAAACTCCATTTCTGTCCTTTCCTGGGCTGATCCATACCAGGTAGCTTGCAGGATCATGACC